GTTCGAGTAGTTAGCCTTCGTCGTGAGATATTATTCATAGGCCGGTTTGGGAGTGGCTCGGTTGCTAGTGCGACCAAGGTGTAAGTAAGAGGTCTTACCTTCTGATGAGGGTGTCCAGATAATTCCGGTCGATCGAGATCGTGAGATCGTTTGTAGATGCCATGGCCTTTGTATTCTCCGTGATGTCAATTGACCAAGGTCATTTGAACTTTGGAGTTGGAGAAATAATTCTGCCGTGTGTGATGTTGAGGTAGTCGCGTACGGGTAGGTACAGGTGAGGCAGGCAGCCAGAGAGCGGTACAAAGGTATCTACTTGGAATGCCTTCTTTGCCAGGTGTGGGCGCAATAGGTAGGCAGTGCCTGTTGAGGGTACCTACCTTAGCTTTATCATCTTATCGATAAGAGTAAACTGTGGCGCGCGGGCAGGCAGTTCGTTTCCCTTATCGAGAGTGGTGGTTCGTGCTCCACCCATCCCCCGTTGGGTGACTTGGAGAGCCATCCTGCATCCTTTCCAGGCCACCTCAGGTCCAGCCAGTTTCTGGGGATGGGAGAAGGACTGCCCGTGGTCCCTGAGACGGCACGTCATCCGGCGGGAAGTCTCGAGTCGTCCAAACCTCGTCCCTTGTTACTCAAACTCAATGTCGAGAACGGAAGCACCTTGACTGAACACGCCACAACGTAGGGGCCCCTTGGATTGGGCGCGAAAGTCACTGTAGGGATACTCTGCTTTTCGAGGTTAACTATCACGTACTCAACACTAGAATAATCCTGAAGCTATACAGACGCATAACCATGACACCCGGATACGATATCGACTTCTTGAACACCATTTCCTGTGCTAAAGACTGCACGAATATGCATCGAGGGCAGGTCAAGCAAGAGAGGATTGCTTTCGTGACGGCGATGTTGACTGGAATGGATATTCGAATTGGAAGAGGACTGGATAGCAGTGGTAATGCCTCGTTATGCGGAGGGATGCTTGGTTTAATTGATGCAGTCCAAGCAGCCCTAGTATGCACCAAAGGCCTAAAATCAGTTGTCTCAACTCATCATTGGGCAAGGTGTTAGGGATTCGCCAGCTGCTGAACCTTTATATGTCTCGGATTACAGCAATGGGTTTGAAGAAGCACCCACATTGGCACAATTGTGCTTTGCTTGATACATTGGAGCGATTGAATGAATCACTGGTGCAGTCAATTTGCCTGGTGAGGTTCCGCAAAAAAAGAGACGGCTTCAAAGACGGAACCGTTCGCCGCACGAAGCTGGGAACTCCCGGTTGATTGTCGCACCCTGTCCCAGGGATCACGACATGGGCATCCAGACTTTGAACGTCGATCCCGGCGGGACGGAAGAAATTTGCATGTAGTCGGAATATATGCCACTAGTAAGATATTAATGCAGACTTGCAGTTTCGCTCGGTCGCATGCACGAAAACGGTGCAGCAAGTACGAAAGATTGGCACGGCAAATTGCCTCTGTGTAGGCATGATGTGCACGCAAAAACCTGCTCAGAATTGATGCAAAGCGGGCCAAGACCCTGCGACTCTACATCACTGATGCGAATGTTGACTACCTCATTCCTAGTCCTCCTGCCTCCGTACTCCGCAGACGTAGTCGCTACGAAGCACTGACGAGATGTCGGGCTGAGCGGAGGTAACTCTTAGGTGGTGTTACGAGCCACCAACATGTTAAGGTCCGAAACTGTGAGAGGCTGAGAGGCCTTCGGCGACCATCCAATGGTCTTGTGTATGTAGCTAGACGACTTGTGAGAACCCAAGCGGGCTTAAGACAGCCTGTTGGACAACACAACGGGAATTTTCTGTTGGTGGCTTTGTTGCTCGGGTCGGGGGTTGGGGAACCCGTGAGGAGATCCGACGGGATGCTCACCTCACATGAAGGGTGGCGATGGCAATAGCGGCTTGAGTCTCGGGCATGTGTTTGGGTAGATGTTTTGTCAGATTATGGAGTATTGAAAGGGAACAATTCATCAGAAGGCGATGTCATGATGGCTGCAAATCATCATGAACGGATGGAAGCGGCTGGTTATCGGTCTCGCCTCAGTCTCATGATTGATTGAAGATGTGGAGGCGCGTGTCCCGAGTAATTATTTTTAGAGGGATGTCAACACGAGGGGGGGAAGGAATACGATGTGCCGGGTGGATCCCACATGCTGAACCCGATGCACCACCAGGTCGCGAACCTCCAAGTCAGTGACGCTCACGTCCGTCCAGATCCCTTCCCTCCTATTCGTAAGATACTTTCTGCTTAGGTCAGTAAATGCTTGGGACCTTAGGTACCTTGGAGACAAGGCATCTAAATCTGTACAGGATACCTATGCCCTCATTACCGACGAGCCTTGCATTGTTGTTGACCATTGTATGATACCCGTCCGGTTCCGACTCTTCCAATTGTGATAGAGACCTCATGAGATCTTGTTGAGTACTACTAAGGCTTCGCTCTCGAGCTGATAAAAAGAGGTCGGGACCAACGCTTTGGGGTGGCGGGGACGCAGGCCGAGGAAGGTCCAGGGCATGTCGATACGCTAGACGGTAGAACTAAAGATCCCTAGCGCAAGGAGGCAGGTACTGGTAAAAAAAAACAGAGAAAGAGACTGGATCGAAAGACGGTTGGAACATGGCGGCTGGCTGTTGGCTGTTGGCTGTTGGGTAGCCTAGGAACCTGTCTGTCCATTGTCCATTGTGACTCTGTCACGGCCTATCCTCTCGTGCGTCTCTATGAAGTACTTATGCAGATGTGCCTTTCTGTACCCGTATGCAGGTTATTTTTTTCCTGCATTGGATGCCCCAGCCAAAAAATAATGTTTCCAGCCCTCTGTTTGGCTGGATTCCCTTGCTGACTGGTCCGATGCCCTCTTCTCAGCCCGGGCTGTGCTGTGCCACCCCATCTTTCTCAATGCATTGGTGTGTGGCCTAACAGGCTTCGCCCCTGTTCCCTAGGTACCTGCTGCATCGCGTTGCCCTGCATTCCCATTTTTATTGTTATTTTCTTCGTTCATACGGATTACGGCCTTGCCCGTGCCATGATTCCGTCACTACCTTAACGCGCCTTAGCCAAACTCGCACCCTTCGGCCACCACCCAATCTTCCCCTGGAGCTTCGAGGAGACGCTGGGAAATCCCCCCCGACCCCCCTGCCCTCCCCGAGAGTCACTTGCACATTCGGGGGATGGGCCTTGGTTGCTGTGGATCCACCAAACCTAATCAATCGGAGCCCCATCCACGTTCCCTCCTGTTGAACCCGCCCCGAAATCTCTCCTCCCATTCCAGCGCCTTCTTAGTTAGCCTGCCTGCTGGTGCCTCTACTTCCTCCCTCTCCTGGTCGACTCCTCTTTCCTCCCATCCTGATGTGATTTGCTTCCCAGCAGCAATTCAAACGCCCTTTCTCGACGTCCGCCTTTTTTGCTGTTTAATTCGAAACATCGACACTCGCTTGATTCTACCCGCTCGTTTTTGGCCGTTTATTGAAAGAGGAGGAATTCACAAACCAAGCACAATTCTCCCGGGTCCCGAATTACTTGACAAGCCAACGACAACCCCCCAGGTTTTGTTATTACGAATTTACTGCGAAAAAAGGGGTGGCCACGATCGAACACCATCTCCCTCAACCACGACTATTCGATACCGAATATCCAAAGACACCAAGAACGTCCTTCTCGACCGACTGCACTCGCTTTTTAAACCATTTTGGTTAATTTTGAAGGCCTCGACGACGTCCTTCCGCTAGGAACCTCGTCCTCAAATTCAACACACACTCATCAATTTCACCGGGAACCTACCTCCTCCCACATCGAAATGAAGGCCGTTCAGTCTCTCGCTCTCGGCCTTGCCGTCTTCACTCCTCTGGCCTCCGCCTGGCCCAAGTGGCTTCCAGATGTCGATGCCCTGGTTGTGCGGCAAAACGATCAATCCTCAACCGGTATGTCGTGCCACGTTTCCCCCGGGATCTTCCCGTCGTCACATTGTGTTTGTGAACCTCCATAGCTAACTTTACTCACCAGCTGCCGCAACTCAGACCGCGACTGCTCAGACTGGCGCCACAGCAACAGGAACGGCACAGGCGACAAACACCGGCGGCGCGAAGACCACCAACCTCAACACCGCAAAGCTTCCCACAGGCACTGAGACGGGCACTGGCACCAAGACAGGCACCAGCAAGTCCAAGGCGACCTCTTTCGATGACACAGATCCGGCTGGTGGCATTACCATGGTCACGCCAGCGGCCACGGCTCAGTCTATCAACCTTTACAAAATAGGAGACTTTGTCACCTGGGGATGGAACTACACAAACCTTCAAGCCTCTCCTACGGCCATCGATGTCCTTGTTTCGTGCTCATCCATGGCTCAGACCTGGACATTGACACAGAACATGACCTTTGCTCAGCCCGCCTCCTTCACCTGGGATTCGAGCGTGCAGGCGACCGACCCCTCAGCGCCGTTGCGAAACGACGAATACACTCTTGTCATCTACGACGCGGAATCGAGCGTCAGTGCTACCGCTCAGCCTGGCTACCTTGGTGTTTATTCCAGCTTCAAGTTTGGCATGTACAAGGCTCAAGAATACAAGCCCCTGAACGAGTGGAACTGCGCAACGTGCTCTGCTGCGTCTGGTCTCGACAGCAAGGCTCTCAGCATGGCTGTCGGTATGAGCGTTCTCACGGTGGCCAGTTTCACATGGTTTGTGGCGGGAGTGGGCATGTTTTAACGACGTGTTCAATAATGACCAAAAATTTTCATCTGTAATTTTTGAATATCTAGTTGCTTTGGGGGGCCTAACAAGAGCGAGGAACAAGAGTCCAGCGGTAATCATTTACGGTAGTCATTTCTACACAACACCAAGGGCGGCGTTACGTGTCAAAGCATGGTCGGGCAAAATATGACTCCGCATATAGGTAAACTCAAGACGTTTATGAGTGTTATCTTGATATATAGCTTAATTGATGATACTGGCTGATACATGGCCGTATGAACTATCAACTCTTCTCTTACACCATCCTGAGTGAGAATCCACCGCCTTTCTCTTCCTTGTCTCTGCCCTGGAAGATGCCGCTAAAGTCGACATCACCCAGATCTGCTGCATTCTGCCCGCGGACGGGAGCATTCGGTTCATGTCTTCGCCTCTTCTCCTGGCCAGCTTTGCTGGGGAACGTTGGAAACATGCCCTCCTTCTTGGGCTTCGGATCCTCCCTAAAATATTTGTGCTCCAGCATCTCCTTGGCCGACGGCCTCGAATCCGGGTTCAACGAAAGCAGGTCGTTGAGCAACTTACATCCGGCATTCGTCAGTGTGGTAAACTTGGTCCGAATCATGGACCCTGTGACATTGGGCGTCTTAGGAAATCGCAGAGACCGCGCGTTGGGCAGGCTCCTGAACGAGGGCCACTTCTCCTGCGTCGGCACGCCGCAGAGCTCAAAAATCTTGGTCACCTGGTCGACCTCGTTGGTGCCTTGCAACAGCGGCTCCCGCGTCAGGAGCTCGCCAAAGATGCAGCCCACGCTCCATATATCGACGGCCTTGCCGTAGGCCTTCGCGCCGAGAAGCAGCTCGGGCGAGCGATACCACAGCGTCACGACGAGCTGGGTCAGCTTCGGGGCCGGGTCGCCGACGTACCGTGCCATGCCAAAGTCTGCTATCTTGAGCTGGCCGCGGTTGTTGAGGAGGAGGTTCGAGGTTTTGAGGTCGCGGTGGAGGATCCAGTTGTCGTGGAGGTAGGCGACGCCGGCGGTTAGTTGCCGGAGGAGGGTTTTGACTTCGGAGAGGAGGAAGGGTTCGGGCATGTCTTCTAGGATGCTCTTAAGGTCGTGTTCGACGAACTCTAGTACTAGGAAGATACTACAAACTCTGTTGTTAGCGTTGCCACCACTAAGAAAGCAGGCTGATAGATGTATAGGTTTCGTACTTTTCAATCTTTGAGGTGTCGTCCCCCACAACAACCTCCTCAAGGTTGACGATATTGCGATGGCTGCAGTCTCGCAGGATCTGTATCTCTCGCAGCCCCGTCACAGGCAGCCCGTTGCGATCACTTGGTTCGATCTTCAACCTCTTGAGCGCAACGACCTTGCCACTAGAAGCTTCCTTGGCCCGCGATACCCAGCCGTATGTGCCTTCCTCGATATCGTTGAGCTTGTCGTAGTTCTCCACGCTCCGGCACTTGCCCCAGTGGCCGACGGGGAAGCGCATGAGCTTCGCCGCGCCCTCTTTTGCATCTGGTGGCGCACCGTTGTCGCCATTGGCTGTTGTTGTCCCGTCTTCTGCGTCGGGCGTGAACTTGCGCCGTTTCGCTGGCCGTGTGCTGTCGTTGACGTCGCCGTCGTTCTCAGTTCCATTGCTGCTCTTCGCCGCCCTCGCCTGCTGCGCCAATCGTTCCGCCTCGGCGGCTTTGCGCGCCTTTTCGGCTTTCAAACGTTTCTTGTCCCCCTTTTCTCGCTTTAGTTTTGCATCCAAGGCTGCGTCCTCTGCGCTGTCTGCCCACCTCGACTTGGCGTTGCTCGCCATGGTCGGCGGCGAGGGTGGTTGTGGATTTGGGCGCAACAGACGGGAAAGCCTCTTGTTAACTAAGAAAGCATGTGATGTAGGTGAGTCTCCAATCTTCGTCTCGAGAGGGGTTGTCGGGAGGGGACTCGTGTGTGGCAGTTTCGTCGTAGTTTAAGCCACTTGGAAATAGCCTACGACTTGCAATCGCGCTGCCGTTCAGGTGGTGCAGTGAAGCAGGGATCAGGCGCGGCGACTCGGCGGCTACCATGCTCCGACTTTGTCCCATTCTTTTGTTTTTTCTCGGGGACCCGGCGGCGGGAGCTCATGCAAGTCACAACCAGAGCTAGGTGGGTAGCGTCCCGGAATTGCAGGCTTCCCTTATCTTATCGTACCCCAAAAGTTTGGTTTGACAAAGCTCCAGAAGCTGCTCCTTGCTTGTCACTGGAAACTCTCACGACGCGCAGCCGTAAACGAACCGGACGAAGCGAACGTCGTAGGTACAAGGCTACCTGCCTCACCCGAAACGAGAAACCCCTCCTCGAATTGCAGTTCCACATGCACATGTGCTACTAAGGGCTCCTCTCTTTCTTGAGGAATCCCGCGATGATCCCGACAGCTCGTTGAAGCCCAGAAATTTACTCGAAGTAGCAAAGAGAACCTGTGGAAATACGCAAAGATGCAGCGACTATCTCGTCAAAGAATTTTGTTGGATGGCCTTCGTGGCGCTACCATATCCCGCGCCGTGCAGCGGACCAGCGCAGCGCATGCTTCCAGATGCTTTTCAAGCACGGTCTCAAGGCGGGATGGAGAGGAGAGGAAATGGTCCACGCCTTTGGCAAAGCAACTGGCTGAGGCTATCTCGGTACTACACCTGCGCTCTTCCTTAACGTTGATTGCATTCCTCTAATGTTGTTCATGTCATAGATGACCGGCCCCGTACCTCTCGCGAGCTATATGCGCATGTGTCTGACCGGTGACATTGACGGATACTATACGGGTTTGGCCGAAGAGAACAGAGACCAGTTCGGCTTGAAGGGAGACTTTGTTACGTCGCCCGAGATTTCCCAGATATTCGGCGAACTGATTGGCATCTGGTTCGTTGCGGAGTGGTTGAGCCAGGGCAAGCCTAGTAAGGGCGTCGAGCTCATGGAGGTCGGTCCCGGGCGTGGCACTCTAATGGACGACATGCTTCGTGTAAGTGGAATTGAGTTGCCTGGGGCAAGTGAACGTTGACGACTGACATTCCGTATATAGACTGTGCAGAACTTCAAGGGTTTTGCGCAGAGCATCGACGCCATCTACATGGTTGAGGCCAGCCCTCAGCTCCGAGAGGCACAGAAGAACCTCCTTTGCGGTCCTGACGCGCCCATGACCGAATCCAAAGTCGGCTATCACAGCGTTTGCAAGCGGACCAACTTACCCATTGTCTGGACCGAGACCATTAAGTCTATCCCTCAAAGTAAGCACCATGAATCCGTTGCGGCTTCGGGAGGACTCGAAAGGCTGATACCATCTCCAGGCCCCGAGAAGATGCCCCTGATTGTGGCACATGAGTTCTTCGATGCGCTCCCCATCCACGCCTTCCAAGCCGTCACCGTCCCCCCTTCCCCGCCCAAAGAGCCCATACCAGGACAACCTGCCCCGAGAACCCCCCCTCCTCGTGAACCTGAAGGACCCAAGATCGAATGGCGCGAGATGCTCGTCTCGCCGACACCGCCAGACGCCACCCACGCGACCATGAACATACCGAAATCAGAACAGGGCGACCCGATCCCCGATTTCCAAATGACGCTCGCCACAGGCCCAACCCGCCACTCGCGTTACGTCCCCGAGACTTCATCCCGCTACCGCCGTCTGAAAGCCACCGTCCCGGACGCCGTAGCCGAGATCTGCCCCGACGCTTCCATCTACGCCGCCGACTTTGCCAGCCGCATCGGTGGCTCAAAGCAGCATCCCAAAGCCCGGCCCTCTGGTGCGGCACTGATCCTGGATTACGGCACGTCCGACACCGTCCCCATCAACTCTCTGAGAGGCATCCGCCGTCACCGCCGCGTCAGTCCCTTCTCGGAACCCGGTCTCGTCGACCTGAGCGCCGACGTCGACTTCACCGCCATCGCTGAGGCAGCGATGGTCGCGAGTGAGGGTGTTGAGGTCCACGGACCGGTCGACCAGGGCGCATTTCTGGGTCAGATGGGCATCAAAGAGCGTGCCGAGGTGTTGATAAAGCAAGTCAAAGCCAATGCGGCCGCTGACAAGGCGCAGGCCATCGAGGGTGCATGGAAGCGTCTTGTGGACCGTGGCCCCGGCGGGATGGGTAAGGTCTACAAGGCCATGGCCATCTTGCCTGAGAACGACGGAAAGAGGCGTCCTGTCGGCTTTGGCGGCGACGTGTAAGACTTGTCGTGTACTTTTAGTTTAGGAACCACCTGTAAAATAATACCAAACGAGAGCAGACTCGAGAGCATTATTTGCGATCATATAATTGACAATGGGGTACCCCCGACCTCTACATGACAATGAATCTTCTCTCCTGAATGACGGAAACCGAGTATACTGCGCCAACGCCGCCCTTGAAGTGCATACTTTACACTGCAGTTACGCAATTGCTACTTTTTCCGATGCCCGGAACCCAAAATGCCCACCGTCTATTTCTTGCTTACAAGCTTGGCGTCTTCCTCATCAGAATCATCCGAGAACCTGTCGCCATCTTCTCCCACTGCGAAGATGGTCTCTCCATCCAAAGACTCGCGAGGGATGTGTCTTTGTGGCTGCGCTTGGGGCATGCTCGCCGGTGCGGCCGAGGAGCCACCGTGGCCAGGAGTGGATGATGGAGCAGTGGTGTTGTTCTTGCCCAGTTGGGCTTCCTCGTCGTCATCGTCCGAGTCAATGCCGCCAATATCAGCCATCGTGAACGTGCCATCATCGTCTTGTGCAATTTCGTCACTCATGGCGAAGCGTCGGTTGTTCGCCGTCGGTCTCCAGACGTAGGCAATGAATGCCACATCGGCGAAGTAGACAAGATTCAGCCAGCCATCGAGAACGAACCACCGCGACTTCCAGTGGAAGGGAACGTAGTCGGGGTCGCTGACTGATGCGAAGCTGAAGCTGTTGAAGAAGAAAAAGCCGAAGATGACAAAAATACTGATCAGGATACACCACCATAGCTTCTTGTACATGGCTTCCTTTGCATGCTGCTTGCGCTCACGCAGGTCCTTGAGCGTGAAGTTCAGGGAGTTTAGCGTCCAGATGTAGAATCCGGTGAGTGTACCTGCAAGAGGGAGGACGATGAGAAGCACGAAGGGACCTATGGTGTATTAGTCTACAACGGTCTGGGTAGCTTGAGTAATGAGGATATAACGGCTTACCAGCAGCGTCTGGGGTAATCAGCAAGCTGGTGATCGCATACACGAGCCCGAAGACAAAGTGGGCAATCGCAAGCCAGCGTACCCAGATCATCGTTCGTCCAAGCGTGTGTTTGACTACACCATATCCCATGCAGACAATGAGCAACAAAAAGAAAGAGAACGAGTTGCGAGCGGCGTTCAAAATGGCTACTATTACTAGTAACACCTTGGAGCCGATATTCGCACCATTTCGGTTGAGGTAGTCTGTCTTAGGTCAATTTAATTTCTTGCAACTGAAAAAAGGGAACCTTACCATAGAAGCCCCATGTCAAGAGCATCTCCACAACAAGGAAGATGATGATGGCCGTAATGTAGTTCTGAACCGGTACTGCGATTGTGATTAGATGGGCAACAACTGCATTGAACCTTTCGACTTACGAATATCATGGCGGTGCTGGTAGTACAAAAAGCCCCAGAATACGGCAACTAAGGCATAGAGAATAGTGATTCCTCCGTAGAAGGGTAGCTTCGGAATTTGAGTCGCGGGCAGCTCGCCATAGGCATTACGGAACTCCACGACAGCGGTGAACTCGCCCGCGGTGAACTTATCGGTCAGGACGCAGTAATAGCCCGTCTTCTTGATCATGTATTTGGTGCTCTGGGGTTCCTTGAGGTGGATGGCTTTCGTTTCGATGATGTTCTTCGACTTCGTCGTGGCTTCCTTATCGATGATGAACTTGCCAATATCCGTCTCGTTGCAGTAGTTCTTCTGAACAAATGCTTCCTGGCAAATGCCGATTTTCTGGTTGAAACGGAGTGTCAGCCACCCATTACAATTGGTCTCGGGCTTGTCGAACGAGTGTATCTTACATTCTCTGCATCTGGAGTCTCACGAACGCCAATCAAGTCCTCGTCTTTCCACTCGAAGATGACCAAGCTCACGGTAGGATCCTGGTCCGCTGGCGCTTCCTTCGGGATGAACATGACGTTGATGTAAGGGTCGACAGGTCCGCCCCAGGCACTGCGGCTATACATGCCTGCGTTATACCATTATCAGTATCGTGTCGTGCATAGTAACTACGCTCTCCAGCCACTGTGGAAATTACCTGAGCATCTCTGTCTGTTCTCGTCCGTTTGGTCCTATGGCAGCGAGGTCAAATTAGCTTCTGATAGCACCGGGCTAGGTATGTCGCAATCATTGCTTCAAGATAGGAGTCTTACCATTTTCACCTCCAGAGCATTAGCCGCCCAGAGGGACATGCCCAGGACGGAGGCATAGAGCCAGGCCTTCATCTTGAGGACAGGTACCGTAGGCCGGAAGATTGCGACGGAGAGTAGGTATTTAAGGTTTGGTAGACTAGAAGTCGAGGGGAAGCGATCGCTGCGTGATGCTCGCCTTGGGTGTCAAGCTCCAGCCAGCTCTATCTACGACGATGTTACTGAGACGATGGTCGCATGTAGCATGCCGAACCGAAAGAGGGCATGCGACTTGGGTACGGTTGGATAATGGCGCTGAGAGATCGTGAAATTCAGCAAATCCGGCCAATTCGGATACGTTGCACGGAGGCGGTGTTGAAGGGAGCTTGTAGCAGATGGAAGTCTGTCAGTGCCAGCCTGGCAGACAGGAACCGGACCTTGCGCGAAACTTGCAGCGTGAGGGAGGTGCGTGCCAAGCTCCGAGGTACCTACGTACGCTTACTACTGGAACTTCCAACACTCGGAGAGTTTCATTGGTCAGTACGCCAGGGAACACTGCGCTACTGGTTTCTACGCAGAGCTACTAGTCGAAACATGGGTACCTTTCAACGTGTTTGGGGGCAGATATCCCTAACGAAGGTAGCATAGGTATCCGAAGGTAAGGGAGCCTCCCGGTAAGGTAGGGAGGACAGCTTGCCTCAGCTCCATACATGGAAGGTACAAAGTGCCACTGCACGGCAGCCACCCTTTCAGGATGCCGCTAAGGTAGTCGCCCCTCCTGCATAATTACTAGTGAAGATTCCTATCGCATTTCCTGGCTCAGATTCAACTTCTGCAATTATTGTATGGCGCGGCTACAACGAAACACCCACGTCTTTCACATCGCGGTCCCGCCATCATAACCCTGTCAGCCTCGTTCAACAGCGCCTAAGGACCGATTCCCGTTAACGGCGACAATGGGCAAAAACACAGACAAGCTCTACATCACCCATTCTGAGTGGTCATCATCGGATGCCTACTCTGCCAGCGCCGGCGCTAATGTCAATTCGCGGTCGCGAGGCTCCTTTCGCCGTTTGCCCTTCAACTTTTGTGCCGCTAGCCTCCAGCCCTTCAAGAATCCAGTCTGCACCAAGGATGGTACTATCTTCGACGTCGAAATCATCAGCTCGTGGTTGGACAAGCACAACACAAATCCTGTCAATGGCGAGCCGTTGAACGCCAAAGACCTGATCAAGCTGAACTTTTCAAGGAACGCCGAAACCGACTCGAGGAGCGCAGGCTTAAGCGATGGCCAAGGCGATCTGATCGATCCCGTCACCTTCAAGGTCTTCACTGACAACACTCACATCGTTGCGATTCGACATGGAACATATGCAAACGTCTTTGCCTGGGAGACCGTCGAACGAATGAATATCAAGGCGAAGAACTGGCAGGATCTTGTTGACGACGAAAAGTTCACAAGAGCGGATATCATTACCTTGCAGGACCCCCAGAACGCTGCTAGCAGAGACTTGAGCCAGTTCAAATACCTCAAGGATGGCGAAGATGCTATCCTGAGCAAAGAGCAAGAAGAGGAGCGGAAGAATGGCAATGTCAACATTGATGCGCTGGGCAGGATTGGTGACAAGGTCCTGCGCGCAAAAGAGGCTGTCGAGAAAGCGAGGAAGGAACGCGATGGAGGCGCCGACGTCAACCGCTCTTCAGGTGCCGTTGTGAAGGCGACATCTGCAGCCCAAAGGAAATCCATGGTAACGGAGAAGAAGATCCCGTCAAATGCTGCGGTCTACACCAACGGCAGAGCTGCCGCCAGTTTCACCAGCACAGGCCTCACGCCCGAGACGAGTGGCGAGAGGGCACTCTTGACTGACGAAGAGTACATGCTCAAGCCGAAACGGGTCAAGATCAAAGGATATGTCCGCATAGAGACAAACTTGGGCGACCTCAATATCGAACTGTATCCGGAATACGCACCTCGCGCGGTATGGAACTTTACGAGATTGGCCCAGAAGGGCTATTATAAGGGTGTCACCTTCCACCGAAACATCAGAAACTTCATGCTCCAGGGAGGCGATCCTTCAGGCACAGGCAAGGGCGGCACCAGCATCTGGGGAAAGAACTTTGAAGACGAGTTCGACGGGCCTTTGACGCATGATGCTCGCGGCGTTCTTAGCATGGCAAACAAAGGCAAGAATACCAACTCAAGCCAGTTCTTCATCATCTATCGGCCAACGAAGCACCTGGACAACAAGCATACTGTATTTGGCAAGGTCGTTGGTGGGCTCGACGTGCTTTCCAAAATGGAAGACGTTCCCACCGACGGGTCCGACAGACCTTTGAACAAGATTGTCATAAAAGACGTGGTGGTCTATCTGGATCCGTTCCAAGAGTTCCTCAAGGAAAAGAGCGAGATCGAGAATCTGGAAAAGAAGAGGCAGGCAATAGCCTTGAGTGGAGGTACCGAAGACGACAAGACAACGTGGACGGGCAAGCGGATCCGAGCCGACGGCACTGTGGACAGTGGGAGTGCCGGAGCTGGCGTGGGCAAATACCTGAAGTCGCAGGGCTCCGCTGCTGCAGATACGGGGGCGGCCGACTTGGATACTTGGGAAGAACCGGCCAAGAAGAAGTTCAAAAGTGGCGGATTCGGCAATTTCGATAACTGGTGAGACATCGTGGCCGATTTAACGCTGATATAGTTGAAGGCTATGGGACGAAGAAAAGACATGATACCCCTTTTGACCATCATACTGCGCATCCAAAGCTACTTGGATCTTCTGCGCACCATCTATGTATATGTCTATTGATACAAAGGCAGCAAGCGATTCAACCACGCCTCACTAAGCTCTCCAGATCTAAACGATCAAGTCGGACGGTATATGTGTCTGTGGCATCCGATTCCAGGATACATCAGACCACGGAATATACACCTCCTTGTCCCGAACCATGAGTGCCACTCCATGAGCTTGCATCAACCCCGACTCTTCGAGTATCGCTTTCAGTCGGTCGACGACAAAGTCTTTGACTTCTTGCGTACAACACGATGAAACTCCAACCAAGTACAGCGGCCACACAATCGTGTTGCTTGCGGAAGCAAGGGTCATGAACCGCTCGGCATCGTTGCTGCGGCCCTTCGCGTAGGTTGGGTCTTGCAGAGTTGGGCCATTGAAAGACCTCGGGCCTGGCGGCGTTTCAGCCACGGACGACGGCGAAGACGACGATGCAGAAATCGAAGGAGATCGCACAATTCGAGACGGAGACTTCGTTACTGGTACAATGGCTGACGGTGAGCCGCCGCCGCCGCCTCCAAACAGAGCGTCTCTAAAATTGACAACGCCGAAATGTTGAGGAATGCTGGCCAACACAGTTTCGCAAAGTTTCTCCAACAATTCGACAGACTTTGCCAGCTGTAATTTTGCCTCGTACGGCCAGAGCATAATGTGTTGACCTTGAAAGCATTTGAAAAGCTCTCCGAGGATGGTCTCGTGTACCATCATTCTTATCGATCGGACGCCGTTCCAAGTCGCAGCCAGCCCCAGCGTGGCGTATACATCACAGCGGTGACCATCGAAAACGGATGGGTGTGATGTCGCAAGCCTCACAGATCTGTATCTCCACGTTTCAGGCAAATCGGCAATGACATCGGCAAAGTCTTGATCGACGCTGGACAGTTGGTTGATGATATCGGCCGTTTGGTTAAGTTTCCCGCTGTTAATGTCGTACCGCAGCTGCATGACCTTATATATGGGACCAGATAATCGCCAGCCAGGGTCAGTTCCCCCCGAAAGCATACCCAGCTGGTTCCGGAGGTCGATGAGAGACTGCGGCATGGGCATGTCTCTTTGCATACAGTTGATGAGGACGATCTGTGTCAGCATCATGAACATTCGTGCCCCCGCTCTAGTTGTGAACTGGCCGAGGCCTCGCATCTTGGCTAGAGCAGAGGCACCGTTGAGATGGTTTTGCCATGCTCTCACTGTCTGGTTGGTACGACCGCTCAACATTTCGTAGGTCCCCAACACGAGAATGGACAACATGGTGGTGTCCTTGACGGCTTCAACTGGGTCCCTCAGAGCATCATTTGTCATTTTGAGAGCGGCGCCGTAGCTCCGACGCGACCAGTCCATCATTTCTGCACACATTGTCAGGTGCGAAAGGCCTGCCAAGCCCACAGCAGCTATACTAGCCATCACGCCGTCCGCCTGTCGACTGGGCAGCATGCTGGCGGGGCGCCAGATATCAAAGATGAAGTCATAATTTTGATGGCAGGCATTCTCGTCCATGGAGACATAGCGAGAAAAGAAAAAGGCCGTGCCACGTTCCTGATATGAGGGCGACAAAGAGTACAGAGGCCTTGCGCGTGGTGCCATTGACCAAGGCTCGTCTTCGTCGTCATCGCTATCGGAGGAGGAGGATGACCATTGGATCTGCCGCGGCCGATGCCTAATAGTCATATTCTGCATCGTGGTTTCCATGGGACGAGGTGGATATTGGCGCCGAACGCTAGGTCTCACGGCCGTTCCAGGAGGACTCGGATCGGAGCTGTCGTGGTCGGTGCTTGCTATTACATTTTCGGAGGACGATCCGGCACTCGAGGCCTGTGCATTCTTTAATCGACCCCTTGCCTTCGTTTTGGCAGCTTTTTTGATGACGTGTGAACTCTCATCTCGGAACATGAGGTCGACGAGGTTTCGGTAGCCAGGACATTGTTGCTGTCGCTTCTCACACTGGCCACAGCCGGGCTCCTTTTGATCACACTGTTGGCATCGTCATTAGCCTAAAGTCAGAAGCCTCTCCCGCCGTCCGAGAAGACGTTGCCTCCCCGCCGACGTGCAAGAAACTTTTGGCAATCAACGACGAGAGCAGACCTAGCTGCACGAGTTGCGAGATGTCTACAACAAGGATAGGGAACTTACCCTGATCTTGCGCTCACGACAGTTGGAACAGCCTTTCGACGGCTTACCGCAGTAGACCATGCTGGAGACGCGGATATCTCTCCCAGAGCAGCCAAGAGGACCAGAAGAAAAAGATACAACTAAAAAAAGCCACGATGCGAAGTTGACAAAGGGCCAGTGTTGGGTTAAGAGCTGAGTAATGAGATGGATCGCTTCATGTGGGTGCCATGATCGGATCAGATCATGACACTGGATCTACTCCGTTATGCAATGGCGATCGAAGCGGGGAGGTGCGAGGCCAAGACGACTGGGCAGAAGATTTAATTTGGGGAGCAAACCGCGGGCAGCCCGATGGAAGAGGGGAGGGCAAAAAAAAAACAAGACGGTCACATCCTCTCAACGGGAGAATCCTCCCTGGTCCTTGGGGGGGTCGAGAATGTGAGATGACGGACTGCGGCGGCGAGGAGGGGTGGCAGGTTGCCTTAATGTGGTCGATGAGGAGGGACAACAGCTGCAGTCTGCAATTGGACGTTGAACGTGTGAGTGGCACACGCTCGCACGCCTCGTTGTGTGCCTGAACCTGTGAAGGTATCCGTACGGCGAGCCGCGAAAGGGTCTGGACGACTGAAGGATGAGTGTAGAGAGGAGATGTGGGGGAGTGAGGAGACAGAGAGTTGAGGAAAGTGAGTGAGATTGGAGAGTGAGAGTGAGAGTGAGCCTGAGCCTGGCCTCCTTCTCCCTCCCGTCTCCTGTAAGGACGGGGAGACGACCTGAGAGCGGGATGTGTGTGCGTTATCGCCTTAGTCGCCTCTTCTTCGCGGCACCGGCACGCCGCACCAGCAGCTGTCATCTTTTGGTTTGCAGCAGGCCAACAGTAGAAGCACCTCACTTTCCGCGGGTTGCACTGTTGCGCATCGTCTTTTTGGCCGCGTCTAGGCCCTTTCGGAACAAACGACCGACCGGGGGCTTCGCGGGACTGGAACCCCTCGGAGGAGCTACTGCAGTGACGGACAGTTCGTGAGCGCCGAACTGGGGCCTCCTGGGGGTCTTCTGGAGCCCAGTTAGGTGCCGAGGTTTGATCCATATTGCGTTTTTATTGATCTTGTTCAGACTTTTTGTCACCGGTCCCAACGGTCGAGCAGCAAATTACAAACCATCCGTCCGCGGTCCGGGGTCCTGTTGCCGCCTTTCCGTGTTTCTCGAATCTCTCTCGGGAACAATCCAACGGCCGTCCCCGATCGACCATCGGTCTGCACGTACCCCTTCTATTCCGGCATTATCCTCTATTGTATTACAGTCTCTGTGACTCGTCGTCGTCAACGCCAATTCCAGTCGAGACTTGAACGCGTGGAATGCCCTCAAGGAGAAGAGAGAGCGCATACGTACGAATCTTCGTACGAGTATCCGCATGTCGCCCATGTCACCTACGGGAATGGCTGCAGCTCGCGTGCGGCATGCATCGAATAGGGCTTCCAGCGGAGTTGAGGCCAGGGTTGGAATTGTTTTAGCTCCGCTTTCCCAGCCAAATGCCCAGCCCTTTCTCTACGAAATTAGTACGAATACAGCCTACTGTCGCCGGCTGCATGCTGATTTCTAACGGTCTCTCCCAATCCCGTTCTTCGTTCAATTCCGGTGGGATCCACGAGAAAGAGAGAGACCGAAAGACAGCGGCCTACACCTGCATGACTGGCCCACTCCTTCGCTTCCTTCAAGTTCCCTCTGGGATTCTGCATTCTGCGGTGCCCGCCGAAAGGTGACTGGTCGCTTTCCGGGGCGGCACGCCGTGATCTGGCAATCTGTCGGGTTCGCTTCCCTGTCGCAGCTCCAGAGGGGAAAGGGCTGAATCGAAAGCAAGCCCTGTCAACCATTTTCTTTGCTGTCAGAGGTGTCACCGCAGAAGAGACATGCGGATGCAAACCATCTGCCTACTATTGTGTCTATACTCTGTACCATTGATTGGGTATTCTCGGAGGCCTCGTCACCGGTGACCGGGTCCGAGTCGACCAAACGCTGCGCTTCCTCCCGCTGCATTGGTCTACTACTGTAGAAAAAAGCAACGGGCCCTGAATGTTGTCTAAGACACGGACAGACTATTCGTTCAAGTTTCAACAGCGATTACGCCGCCAGGATTGGTGTTCCCCCATCGAGCCTTAGATGGGCGCCCGAACGTCTGCCATGGCCAGAGACATGCGGAGCATTGCCGCCGGCGACACAAACAAAACAACACAAGTTCTGGTCGGGGCTTTAAGCTCAATATTTGATGAATTGATTAAGAAAGAATGATGATATGTGACATGTGATGGTTACATATGCGCACAACTGTCTGGTATCTACGAATATCCACGCCAAAATGCAATCCAATATCGATCGATCGACCTATTACACCAGGGCTTTCACACGGGCCCACAGCCTCTGCCTCTTGCTCTTGGTATTGCTCCGGCGGCTGCGAATGAGAGGGACGTATTAGACACAATTACAAATTCCTGAGGGGGGAGGGGGGTTTGCATCGAGATACGGATGCCGGCCACTTACAGTTCCTTTTGCGACTGCGCTTCTTCCTTTTGCGGTTGCTTTTCTGACGTTGTTGCAGGAGCAGTTACAGCCTCTTTCGTTGCAACCTCAGTCGGGGCCTCAGCCGCAGCAGCAGTCGTACCATTGCCGCCGCCGATGCCAACGGTGAGAAGCTTCGGGTTGGAGTCGAACAGCGAACCGGACTGGTCCGTGCCGTTTGACGAGCTGACATCGTCGTAGGGGAACGCGTAGCCGCGGCCGTCAGGGCTGACCTCATGACAAATGCGCGAGTAGTGGTTCGTCCGGACGTCCTTGTAGTAGTTGGCTACGCTTTCCCCCTCGGGCTGCCGGTCATTGATGAGCAGTGTCGACCGGTTAAAGGCCGCCGCGATGCGGGCGCCGATGGCCCCCATCTCAGCCTGGTTATTGGGGTACCCGCCAAACGGCCCCGTGCTGCAGCTGAAGATGTCGCGGGCGGCGGGCTGGGCAAAGGAGCCGACGGAGCCGAACGTCAGGAGATTATCGGAGCCCACGCGGCCCTTGACGTCGCCCCATTCGGCCTGCGTGTTGACGGTGAGGTCGGCGGAGCGGTACTTGTCCCACACGGCGTCCACGTAGGGCTGGTAGTACCCGTTGAAGAGGTTTTGGTTCATGACGATACCCGAGTTGGGGCTCAGGGCGCGCAGGTTAGCGGACCCGTCCGCAGTGCGCACGACGAGGTTGCTCCAGCCCGCGCCGTCGGCGGCATCTTGCGCCTTGAGCTTGTCGCAGATGATGTCGAGGGCGTTGCTCGGGAACCCTGGCACGTTGGTGACGGTGCCGGCGTCGTTCTCGAGCGTCAGGGACACGGGGATGCTGACAAAGTCGACGTACGAGATGTTGACGTAGACCTGGAAGCTGTTGAAGGTGAACTCGCAGAATCCCCAGTTGAGGTTGTAGTTGGGGTCCGCCGGGTTGGTCGCCGAGGGCTCCACCACGGCCGGGCCCGGGTTCAGGAAGAACTTGAGCGGGCCGTCCCGAGAGAACCATATGCGGCCGCCGGCGATCTGGGGAATGGTCAGCTTCTTCGTCGACCCCGGCGCGCCGAGCGGGATCGCGGTGTCGGCGCCGACGTCCTGGAGGATGTCCGAGGGCGAGCTCGGGTAGTAGCCGGTGACGCCGTCGGCCTGGAGAAGGAAGACGGCATTGTTGCGGTTGAGGTCCAGGCCGGTTACGTAGGCGTAGGCGTTGGCGGAGCCCGTATTGTTCTGGAGAACGATATCGAGGGTTGATCTCGTCATGGCTTCTTCTCTTACGCCTTGATATGCCGTTGTGTTTTCTGTTCTATGTCTCTTCTCTGGTGGGCCAAAGACTGTCAAGCTGTTTTCCCGACAAAGGATGACGATTCAAGCCTTTTTATTATCCAAGGCGGGATCCCCTCCGGTTCCAAGCTTGATGGGCCTGTACCTTGGAACGTCGACAGGCGCGACTAATACCTCTTAGCTAGGGTGGCCATGTGCAAGTTTTCTTTTGGAGCCCCCTGCCCTCCAACAGGATCTACAGGTGACTATTGGGTGACTCGGAACTGGTTATAAACAGCCCAGTACGGATACGCGACGCGCAAGTGCGATGTGTTGGATTCTCCCTCCCTTTGCTGGCACGGGCTGGATATGACGGAATCGTCGACATGGATATGCGGGACTAGTTCGCCTCTTGACCCCACTAGCAATGGACGTGTTGTCTTGCCCGGTTTTTCATTTGGTGACGAGACGGCTCCACGCTTCGGCCGGCAGACGGTAGACCCCTCATAAGGCTCATCCTCGTGGTCTTGGGTGAGGTGTTATGCCTTAGTTTTCCAGGACTGGTGGAGTGTAAGAAAGCGGCGCAGTTCTTTTTCACGCCCGTCTCGTGTAAGTGAGAGGAGGGTGAGTGCGGATGCAGACAAGCATTGCTCGTTCAAAAGGGTATCGGTGGTTGTCCAGATATCCACCCGCAAAGCACTCACGGCACTGGAACCCGAGTAACTGACCAATATCTGCATCCTGCAGTCAGAACCACAAAGCCTGGGGTAATAATGTCGGGGTCCGGGCTCTTTTCTCGAAACCTTTGTGGGGTGTGGGAACCGATCACCCGCCGCTCGGGATGGATGAAGAGACTTCAACTTGACTCGACAGAGTAATCCTGAAGGTTGCGCCCCAACTCCCGGCGACGCTACTGAACAGCTGCGGGAGCCTCCGAGGCGGACGGTGAGAGGCCAGTTCGTCGTCGATCACTCCTTGTTCATGTGCCTTCTTTTGGGGTATGGAGGGGGGGCTAAAGCGCATGCATGTGCGGGCGGCTGATCCCCCTCCAAGGCACAGTTTTTGGAGACGCGTTTTCCTGGGGAATCGCGAGACATTCTTGAATGCCGGTGGTTTAGATCGTCTAGCTGTCAAAAGTTGGGTCAGATGACAGGCTACTCGACTACATGTGTTGAACCTATTGCTTACTGCTTAGCGCGGAACAGCAATGATTCGCCTTTTTGGGCTCTTGGTGGTCTCGGAAGTGTTGCAATATTAGCTGACGTCTCATACGTCGTTGATGGGAATCTGAGAGAACTTCCCTTTCTGCGACGAACTGTTTGGTCATCCGATCTATCAGCTCCTTTATGATCAAAGGGCCTGCCACATTTGGCGCCCGCCTCATCACGAGAACGGTTCTTCACTTGGGAGACCAAGTCCCTTGGCATATCACAGCGTAATGGTCAAGTCATCAAATGGCAGAACGTAGTCTTGTAGGTAGTCTTGTAGGAACGAGTAGTGGATATCATTCGTGGTCATCGTAAGTAGTAAAGAAGTAACATCGTCTGATGAACGAAGCGCATGGTCGCCTGACGGTCTGCCCTCCTTTTCAGATCAAAACACAAGACCCAGAGACGCCTCATGCTATGCCGGTAAAAGAAAAAGAGAATTCGTAAACCCCCCATTACCCGAAAACCCGAAAAATGAAGACCGAGCAGACCCAACCTGCCGGGACGAATGAAGAAGACATAAAGCGAAAGATCAGATGAACCATATCCCCAAAAGGAACAACCCAATGACCAGAGACCACGACGGCGCCTCTAACGTCCCAGCAGCGGCTGCAACACCACCATCATCACTACCACCTGCTCCACCAGAGCCTGGCGTTCCAGAAACAGTCTGGTTGTTGGTCATGTTGGTCTGTTTCGTGAAGAAGAAGTCGGGCGCGTCCGGGATGATACACACGGCGTCCAGCGCTGTCGGGTCCGCGCACCGGCCCTCGTGGTCGGCCTTTCGCGCGTCGAGAGACGAGTTGAAGTAGGCCCTGACCGACGCCACCGTCAAGATGGCATCCTGCTTGGGCGGGCCCCCCGACCAGAGCGGGTTCCCGTTGCTCCAGTGCTGGAGGATCAGGTGGCCCCCTTCCGTGGGCACGGCGCTGCCGTTCATGGAGCCCAGTACTTTCCCGTCGGCGTAGAAGGTGACGGCGTTGGGGAGGTAGTCGATGCGGTACTCGTGGAAGGCTGCGGTCGGGTCGAAGCCGAGGTTGACTTTGAAAAAGTTGCCCGTGTCGACGGCATTGTAGCCCTTTTCGAGCGAGGCACGGGACTGGAGGACGATGTTGACGGGGTAAGTGTTGTTTGACGAGTTGAATTCTCTTGTGAGGAACTCCATGTCGATCTCTTGTGTGTCATTGTGGTACTGTTCTTAATGTTAGTGGACTTGATATAAGACGTAAAGGGGGGTTTGTGGCAATGGCAACGTACCCAGAAGAAGGCAGCACATGTCCCAGCGACATCCGGGATCTTCATCATCGCCCTGAAAGAACCATACTGCACATCCTGACGCGCCGAGTCTATCTCCGCGCCTGGCACCAGGCCATTCGTCGTGGCGCTCTCGACAAGAAGCTGCAGTCCGGCGTCGGCCTTTGTCGAGCTGAGCCCGAACGAGCTCGACCCTTCGTGGACGGAGGCGACGTTCTCGGTCATGAACTTTTCTCCCAGGGGTCCGCGGGCGTTTGTGTTTGTCTTGTTGAACTCTTGACGGGCCCAGTCCGTGTTTTTCGTAATGTTCTTGACTTTGGTAAAGTCTGTCTCGATGAGGTCGGTGAAGACCTCCATGGTACCGGTGATATTGGTCGCATACCCGCATTCGCAGGCCGCACGTACGAGGGTTGAGAGCAAGCTAGCCGCAAGCAGGCACGCTGTTGTAGGATTTCTCATGGTGAATATGTGGTGATATATGTAGATGTATGAAGGTGGGTGTAAGGAGAGATTGTTATTGGTCTTTACGGGACCATGTAAGTGACGTGAGGATGTGAATATCTCTACTACTGCCAGAGTAGTACAATCCTCCAAAGTTTTTGACAGAGAAGTAGT